GCCTCAGTCTTTTGTCCTTCATCCATCCCAGTATGGCATTCAGGCAGCGCTCAAGGGACCGAACAGCATCCACTGCAGAAGGACGGAAGGAGAGATCGACCTGAGTGTCATCCGGATATAGGTGACACAAAGCTCCTGATGACCTCCCTCCAGCGGCCTCATGTAGATATTAAATAGCATTGGGGAGATGATTGAACCCTGTGGGACCCCACAGTTGAGAGTCCACGGGGGTGGACAACATCTCCCCAAGCTGCACTCTGAGGACAGTCCTCCAGGTCTGAAAAAAAAGACAAAAGGAAGGGCCAGAGCCAGGTCAAGGCCTGACCTCCGATCCCCAACCTGGAAAGGTCAGGTGGTCGATGGTATCAAAGGCCGCCGAGAGGACCGGCAAGGACATTTTATGGGACCCCACAGTTGAGAGTCCACGGGGGTGGACAACATCTCCCCAAGCTGCACTCTGAGGACAGTCCTCCAGGTCTGAAAAAAAAGACAAAAGGAAGGGCCAGAGCCAGGTCAAGGCCTGACCTCCGATCCCCAACCTGGAAAGGTCAGGTGGTCGATGGTATCAAAGGCCGCCGAGAGGACCGGCAAGGACATTTTATCCCTATCGGAAGGTCAGGTGGTCGATGGTATCAAAGGCCCCCGAGAGGACCGGCAAGGACATTTTACCCCTATCGGTCTCCCTCAAAAGGTCATCTCCCAGGGCGACCAATGCCATCTCTGTGCTGTGGCGCGGCCTGAACCTGGGCTAAAGGTCATCTCGCAGGGCGACCAATGCCATCTCCGTGCTGTGGTGTGGCCTGAACCTGGACTCTCCTCCAGGAGAGTCTGAAGCTGATCTTTCTTAATAATAGCTTGTAATTTGAATTCAACTGCTTGTTCTGCTTTATTTGGGTCTGTCATGAGATTTAACAGGCCACATGTCTGTCCCGCACCTACTTTGCTACAGAGAGAGAAACTTTAATATTTTTCTTCACTGATAACTTATAAGCATTCATAACAAGTATTAGGCAGCTCCCTGTATTTGTGAGCTAAGCCAATACAAACTGGTTTAGTAACTTTCTAGATGGGTGGTATATAAGTCTAAATGAATGAATGAATGAATGAATGAATAAATAAATAAATAAATAAATACATACATAAATACATAAATACATAAATACATAAATAAATAAATAAATAAATAAGAAAGAAAGAAAGAAAGAAAGAAAGAAAGAAAGAAAGAAAGAATGGGGAGAAATACAATAAACACAGTTACTGAAATGTAGTTGAAAGCCCAGGCCAGAATCCTGTTCATTTTCAATGTGCACACGATAGTCCGTAGAATGTGCCTTTTCCTTTTCATAGAATTTGCAACAAGGCGGTATTCACTACTCCTTTGCACCTGCACAAGCACGTTGCTTTCAACAGGGCCGTCTCGGGCTTTCCTAACGACAGCCTAGCAATATTGTGGAGTCCTGCGTCTCCATTATTTCAGTCTGCATTTACCGGACAGGAGACTGGCTTTTAAACTTCTGGCTTGCTGGTTATATTTGAGTGGGAAGTGTGTGTGTGGGGGGTGGAAAGAAAGTTCCTTGCTCCTTTATAAGTCATTTTTTCAAAAATAAAGCAAGGAAGTGTGAGGTTAAAGGTCCATTTAATATCTCATATTAGAACTTCCTGAATTTGCAGTTGCATCTGCTGTTAGGGCCTTGAGCAGGTGTCTGGAAGGATGCTGTACAGATCGTTGACTCGTCACCACTTGGCTCTGGCTTAAAGAGCTGGGCCGCCAACCAGCTTTGCCCAAGAAAGACATAGAGCACCAAGGAAGAGGTGTTCACCCCTAATTCAGCAGCCCTTTTATTTGTGGTTACTTTATTTGCCTTATTAAAAATAGCAGCGGCAGCAATGACCTCAGTTTAATAAGGGATGATCTAAGAAGGCGTCTAATATAGTGGTGCCTTCCAGGTCTGAGATAATCCGTTCCAGGAAAATCGCTGTTAAGCGAAAACATTGTAAAGCGAAATTAAAAAACCCATTGAAACGCATTGAAAACCGTTCAGTGCGTTCCAATGGGCTAAAAACTCACAGTCCAACGAAGATCCTCCATATGGCAGCCATTTTCAGTGCCTGTATAGCGAGGGATCCGTCCCTAAGCACAGTGGGGAGCCATTTTAAGCACCCAGCAGCCATTTTGAAAACCCAACGATCAGCTGTTTTTGATCGTCGAAGCAGGGAACCGAACATCACTAAGTGAAATTCCCCCATTTAGACCATCGTTTTGCGATCGCAATTGCGATTGCGAAAACATCGTCGTAAAGTGGATTTGTAATGTGGGGCAATTGTTAAGCGAGGCACGACTGTATAAGGAAAAGAAAGGATTCTGAGTCAGGCTTGTTTTTCTGAAGAACTGGATTCTTGCTAGAAATAGACCACCTTCGTCCTTCCCCCCTTTATTTGTTATCTTGACTTTTTGGCATAAGCTGAAGGCAGTACGTAGGGCTCTCCGCCTGCTACCCAGTTTATTCTCAAAACAACCCTGTGTGGTATATCAAATAAAGAGTGTTATTTGCTCATGGTCACTGAATTAGTTTCGTGGTTGAATAGGACCTTGGTCTGCCAACTTCTAGTCCAGTACTTTAACTGCTATATCACATGCCCCCCCCTCTCTTGCACCAGTCTTGGCTGCGTACTGGTTAAGGTTGACAGTAAGTATTTTTGTTATTTGCCTCTGTGTATCCTGCCTTTCTTCTGGGATTGGGATTCAGAGTGTCTCATAAGAGGGTTAAAAACAAGTCCAAAGGAAGGCCAAATGCAGGAGAAGATTAAAAACAGACCCAGCATTATAAAACTAAAGCACAGTTAAATTGTGGTATTTGGATACTCTTTAATGGAAAGCAAACTAGACATGTGAGTAAAAACGTCAACACATATCTGTGGCCCCTTCTCAACAGCCAGTTGGTTTCCAAAAGCCCACACTGAAATAAAAGCACTACTTGCTTCCGGATTCGAGGGGCAGCGGGGAGGGGGCGCATCGTCGCCCGAAGAACCCTTACATAAAGTTGTATCCTAAAAGAGGATACAAGAGATATCAGAAGACTTGAAGATGGAACCTTGTAGTAGTCACAGGTCTGAAAAAAGAAGACAAAAAAGAAGTGAAAATCAAAGTACAGTGCCATCTTAAAGACTAACAGTTCTGTTCCAGTGCAAGCTTTCATGGATTACGGTTTTCTTTCTGAGATACACAAAAGCCTACTCTGAAGTAGATCTGCTAGTCTTTAAGGTGGCAGAATACTTCTGCTTCCATTTCTGTTACACATGCTGAAACAGATTTAACGTGGCAGCCTCTTTGAATTATTATTATCATTTTATTTATTATTTTATTAGACTTATATACTGCCCATCTAGAACAGGTCTACACTGAGCGGAAGAATGTGAAAGGGGAGAGCAGGACCAGCAGGGGAATGTTTTGATTCCCTGAGCTATGGTATGTAAACAAACTAGCTAAAATCATGAAGGTAAGAGTTGGAAAACGGACTGCTTGATGAAAAATTCAGTGTACCTCCAGAGGCAACGTTGGCACTCTTAGTTTGGGGTATGAACAATAGTTTTGAAACCAGGACATTTAAATATATGTTTGTGCATAATGTTATTTCCCCCCAAAGAAAGGGAGTTACCCATACCACTGATGGAAGGACCACCCACCCTCAAGACTTGTCCGGGTTCAGCCTCAACCCATTTGACTGCATCCATTCCAATACAGTCTCCAGGCAGCGCTGAAGGGACGGGACGGCATCCACTGAGGTAGATGAAAAGGAAATGTAGAGCTGTGTGTCATCAGCATACTGATGACACGATGCCCCACACCCCCTGATGACCCCGCCCAGTGGCCTCAAATAGATGTTAAACAGCATTGGGGAGATGATCGACCCCTGTGGAACCCCACAGTTGAGACTCCACGGGGCAGAGACATTCTCCCCAATCTGCACTCTCTGGGGGCGGTCCTCCAAGAAGGAATGGAGCCAGGCCAGTGCCAGGCCACCAATTCCCAACTCAGAGAGCCTCCCCAGGAGGATACTGTGGTCAACGGTATCAAAGGCCACTGAGATGTCGAGGAGGACCAACAAGAACATACATTGGACCCTCGACTTACAGACTTTTCAAGTTACAGACTTCTCTGGCTGCAAAATTTAGATTCAACTTGCAGCCGGAGAATTGACTTACAGACCAGAAAAAGACCAAAATGGAACAAAAATAGAATAAAAACTGCCAGTTGTGGGATTAATCAGTTTTCAATGCATTGTAGGTCAATGGAGATTCGACCTACAGACTTTTCAACTTACAGCCACTGTTCCAATATGGATTAATTCCTTAAGTAGAGGGTCCACTGTATTGCCCTCATCGGCCTCCCTCAGCAGGTCATCCATCAGTGCGACCAGTGCCATCTCTGTACCGTAGCACGGCCTGAAGCCCAACTGGAATGGGTCCAGAGTGTTGGTTTCGTCCAAGAGCGCCTGGAGCTGATCTGTCACCACCCTCTCAACCACTTTGCTAAGGAAAGAAACATACACGAGATGCCTCCTGGCGCAGTGGGTAAAACGCTGTACTGCAGCCAAAACTTTGCTCACGACCTGGGGTTCAATCCCAGGTAGCCGGCTCAAGGTTGACTCAGCCTTCTATCCTTCTGAGGTCGAAGTCGGTAAAATGAGTACCCAGCTTGCTGGGGAGCCAATGTGTAGCCTGCATAATTAACTTGTAAACCGCCCAGAGAGTGCTTGAAACGCTATGGGCCGATATATAAGCAGCTCACTTTGCTTTGCTTTTTTCAAAATTGAAGAAGGAGATACTATTTACAGAACATAGGACTTGTGGTGAAGAAAACTTTGTGTTAATTTTATGTTTCTAGGAATCATTATCCTTGTGTTGAAGTTACATATGTTATGTCTGTTGTTGATATATTGCTTTGTTTCTTTTCTTTTCCGATTCACTCCCTGCTGCTATTTTCTAAAATGCTGATCCAGTGTTCAATTTGACCAACAACATCGATGTAGAGAATACAAGGAAGAAAATGGAGATGTACCAGAAGGAAAACAAAGAAGTGATTCAGAAAAATAAAATCAAACTGGTCAGTAGTATAGGACTGGTTTTATTTTTATAAATTCACATCTGGAGTATTTGGGGGGAGGAGGAAGTATGTATTAGTTAATTACTATATTCTTTTTTAATTAATTAAAAAAGCTGAACTGTTCAGTATCTAGAATAATTAGGATTGCTAAACTTTATTTTGAACTCAGTCAACCTTTTTTAATGGATTGGCTGAAATAAAGCATATTCTTTAGGCGGAAGACTAGAAACAAAAATTATGTGTGGCATTTTTATGAGCTCTTTTATATAGCATCTTTAAGACACACTACTCTGTGCCTGTGTTTTCACTGGAGCCGACACATGGAGAAACAGAGGGGTTCAGAGGTTTGTAAAAAGCATGGAGAAGTGCAGGTGAGGTTCAGTACCCTTGTTTGCTTGAAAAGACAGAATCTTTGCCCTGCACACTATTTTAAACATATCAGTACAATCAAGGAGAGTTACAAACACCACTTTCCATTTCATTATTGCTCTGACATATAGAAGACAGGAGCTTGAAACTTTTTTCAAAATTGAAAATACCCTATTGAGGGTGTAATACCCTATTGCTAATGCATTGGAGTGGTGACTGTTTTTGTTACTAATTTAACAAGGGCTGCTAACATAGGGAAGATTGACTTCGTTTTAACAGGTTTGCTCTTTAAAGTTATGCCTATTTACTAAATGAATCTTTGGCCATGACCACATACCCTGTTTTCCCTTTGTCAATGAAGCTTTCTTTCCCCTTTATTGAAATCGGTGTCTCTTTTATATAAATGGGGAAGAAGAAAGTTATCATTTTCGAAAAGTGCACTGTGAATTGTAGGGGGAGGCTTACCTCTATCAAGAATCCATAGGGCGACAGAATCCATAGTGATGGGGTGGGCTTTCCTTCTTACAGCAATTCTTTGGCAGTGGTGCCTTTTCCCTCCCCCTGACCTAAGTCAGTGGGAAATTTGTTCAGATGAAAGGGAAGGGAGTCAGCAGGATTTTTACAAATTTTAACAAGCAAATGGTAGTATCTGTTGTCTCATAAAAATCATGAAAGTAACAATTCGTTCCATGGGTTTTAAAAGTTTTCTTACCAACATTAATATCAACAGATTAGTTGTTAGAGCTCTCCAATGATTAACTTTCATCCACATGGATACTTTTATTTGTTTGATTATTTGCATGGAGTGAGTTCTGAGCTTTTTTTCTGATCATATGGAAATCCCAGTGTATGGAGAGTGAGCAGTAAGGCTGAGCAGGGCTATGCAGGGCAGGGCATTTTTAGAGAGTGCTCATTCCTAGGGCTGCAATAAGTAAGAGGCAGGAAGAAGAATGGTTAGCGTTACCAGAAAGGTGAAATTTACGTGCCATCAATTTCCTGCATATTCTTTTGCTGAATGAGGCTAGCCAGAGAAAGACCAGAGAGCAGTCGCTCTGCTTCTCTGATTTGTGGGTTATGGAAAAGGAGCATGGGATATTACATTGTCTGGGACAAAAAAATAAAATAAAACAAAAGGAACTGGTACATCCACAGAAGTCCAGATTATAAATGAGAGACAAAGTCTCAGGATGTAGAAAACAGAAACAAGTATTTTATTCTGAATTCTTTAAACAGGTAGTTAAAAAGCTCTGGCTCAACATGTTCCGTCGAAGCCTTCAGGAGCTAAGCATAATACAAAACCCAAAGTTAGACATCAATTCACATATTCTTTTGAAAAAGTATATACATGCCTGGCTTAGAACTCGCAACTTTACATAAATACATACATGCACATTAGGCATAATAAAATATATTAGACAGAATATAAAACACCAAGCTTCTGTATACTTCACATTAGGCATAATAAAATATATTAGACAAAACACACACCAAGCTTCTGTATACTCTCTGCACCGTTCTTTGGTCTAGACCAGTGACGGCAAACCTTTTTGGGCCCGAGTGCCCAAGCTGGAAAACAAAAAAACAAAAAAACCAGCGGGCAGCGGCAGTGGTGGAAGCAGAGTGTGGCGGAAGAGGGAATCCCAGGCATGGAGGTGCCTCAAGACCCCACTCTGGATCTGCCGCCAGTGCCAGCTGCTCTGCATCCTGGCCTGTCGCCTGTCGAAGTGCCAGCACCACTGGCTGCGGGGCGGGAGGGAGAGTAGCGATCTGGTGACTTATGGCTTGCGTGCCTGCAGAAAGGGCTCTGCATGCCACCTGTGGCACACGTGCCATAGGTTCGCCATCGCGAGTCTATACCAACTCCAAAACTGATGGAAAGGGTTTGAAAGTGCAGGCAGTGAGAAAGGAGGCATTTGTACAACTCAGCTGCACCTAAAGATGAAGGGGGTGAGAGAACCAACCCAGCGGTGAAAGGTCTTTACTAAAAAGGGAACTTGATTGGATCCTGAAACTGAACACCCTGGCACATCGTGGGTTAAACGGATGTTGAAATGTTCTTGGTTTCATCTTAGTCTCGAGAGCAAGAGGAGCTGGAAGAGGCGCTGGAGATTGAACGGCAGGAGAACGAGCAGAGGCGGCTTCTTATACAAAAGGAGGAGCAAATGCAGCAGATGCTGAAGAGGAAGAACAAGCAGGAACTTCTGGATAAACTGGTAGGTGATGAAAGCAACCAACGTCTGGAGAGGCGTCTTTTAACTTGATTCAGAAATGCATTGGGTCTGTCTCTCTTTGTCCAGTGTTATTCCACAGTGGCCGTGAAGAGTGTTATGGGGACATTCTTGAGGGCCTCTCTGCACAGCCTTGAAGATGAAATGAGCCCAGTAAGGATCTCTATGGGAACCAGGTGCCAAGTTCTTTGGTACTTCGTAAATTAATCACAGAGCCTTAAACTGGCCTGCTGATGAGAAGAAAGCAAAACACCTTCGGCAGTTGTGTGGAGATAATAGGTCTTCCCCACTCAAACGCCTGTAGTTGTGTTGCTTGCATGACAAGCGACACCCGTCACATTCCCTGTTTTACACATCTAGAAAAGGTGCAGGAACCCTGTCCTCTTTCTCATGCGGCCACCCTCATTCCGCGGCTTCATTCAAAGAATTTAGAGTAGCATGCGTCATCTTTTGTTCCTTATGACAGTCCTGAGAGTTTGGTAAGGATGAGCGAGGGCCATTAGGGGGATTTGAATCACGGCCCCTTTCTCACACTTTAACCACTAGTGTTGGTTCTGTGAGTTGGAGCAAGAAAATGTCTGATTTCTGTGGAAGCTAGCTCTTCACCGCGCCCCTTGCCCCAGCCAGTTTGTCAGTTGTGTTCCTATATAAGCTTCCTCTCCCCCCCTGCTCGAAAAATCTCCCTTAGCTACTTGATTGGTTTTGCAGCCCAACCTGAATGTTTGTTTGGGTTGCATGGTCACTTAAGTGGACTCTCTGCTTTCACTTCCTGCTTGTCCCTTCCTGAGGTAATCTGGTAGGATCTGCTTTTGGGGAATGTACATCTGTGTTCCAGATTCTTCCCTTATTGCAGCCCCCCTGCAACCCCAATTTTTTACTGTTTTGCTTTATGATTCTGCCCAATTGTTTATGTATTTTATTTCTGTCCTTCTTTCCTTTCCTCCTGTGGGAAGCCTGTGTACTTGAACTTCTTGTCTGACCCTCGGAGATGTCAGCTGTGTTGGGAGGGAGGCTGGCGTCAGGTGATTTAAGAGGTGCTTTTGCTTTTCTGAGAACTGAACGAAGAGAGGGTGACTTACTGGGGTGCAGAATGCATGTAGGCCTTTTTACTGGACTTTTAAAAGAAGAAGAGTGTTTTGTTTTAATTATTCCTAGACTGTGGGCCTAGCTATCCAGGCATGGTCCCTCTTTTAAACATGGACAGAAAAATGAAATTCTATATTGCCTTTAACCTTGCAGTCAGCAGAGCTGAAGAATGTTTGATGCCCTTGTGGACACGTCCAGTATTTGCTTGCTGCTTATTTCTTTTCCTTTCTTAAGCTTAACAGCTTTTTCAGAGGTAGGAGAAATGACTTGTTTTACCCTATGACTTCCAGAACCCAATAAGGGTGTGATAGTTGGACTATTAGCCTGATTGAGTGAATTTTTGAAGCTCTGATTTCTGTGGTTCCCTCTATTAGTAGAGCCTGTACTAAGCGTGCAGGTATAATTGAATAGTAAACAGGAGGATGGGAGGGCAAGACAGACGCTTCCTCCCCTTGTAAGAAAAAGCCTTGGGAATGTCAGAGCAGCCCTGCTCTAGAAGAGCATGTGGGCTTATGTGTATTTGCTGCTCTCATCCTTTCAGAGGCAGAGTTCATGGGGCCCATATCACTTGGCGGTGCTGAAGGGAAACAGCTGGCTTGCTTTCCATCAGCCCAGACCTCTGAAAGGTTGGAAAGAATTTGGCTCTGAGGATGGGCTTGGGTCTCTCATCCCATACATTCCTCAGAGCTTCAAAAAGTTACTTGGTTTGGACTGCCACTCACAAAATCGCCTACAAAGCCGCCTGGAGTGGTCGTCTTGACCAGATAGGCAGGGTATAAATAGAATAAATAAATAAATATTTCGCATAGTCCTTAGGCACGTTGGCTGAGAGATACTGGGAACTGTGGTTCAAGAAAACAAACTTTGTACATTCTGCCAGTTCTTACCAGTTCTTCTTCTCGTTTGAGGTTGGATAACATTATACTTCACCTGACTCTGGATGCGGCTGCACTAATATTTAGTTATTTATTTATTTTTTTATTTGCTTTGATTTGATTTATACCTCGCCCATCTGGTCTGCAAGACCACTCTAGGTGGCTAAGATTGGTGCTTATGCAGGATTCAAACTGTTCTGAGATTATTTGATTTATATCCCGCCCATTTGGTCTGCAAGACCACTCTAGGCGGCTAAGATTGGTGCTTATGCACGATTCAAACTGTTCTGAGATTTTTCAGCTAACACGTTATTCTTTTTTTCTTCTTGAACTCCTTTTTCCATCCATTGCCTTGGATGATCAACGGAGCAATCTTCACTTTTGTTTTTCATTACATGATGAAAGTATTCAAAATGTATACATACTATCTGTTTTAGGGTTTCTTTATCTTTACGTATCTGTTTCTCTTTAGTTGTTCTTCAGTAGTCACCCTCTTGACTGGAAAAATCCTTTACGTTCTGTGATAAGTCCATATTTCAAGTTCTTCTTTTTCAGACTGCCATATGTTAAAAGCACATGATTCCATTACTGTACAGTAAAACCTCAATATGTGCTATACATAACGCATTACAATGACCATTTAGAAAGCCGGTTTTAAGCTTTTGTTACATATTCCTTTCTCTTGAGGAAGCTGCTGGGGGCCATCTCTATACTGACTTTTCCTGCACGATTATGATCCGAAAGTACATCCATCACTGAAACTTGCAAATAGGATCCTTTAGGTTGCTAAAGGAACTGCTCCTCTCTCTCTTAAAGGCTCCCGATGGGTGGAGCAGGGGGATTTGGGTCTTAATCTGAGCCAATTCCTATGTCTTCTTCTGTTGTCATTCTGTAGGGCCTATTCCAGCTTCCAGTTAAAAGGACATCCTCGGGGGGGGGGGGGTTACAGGAGATTTTCCCTATTATCCAGTTTTCTCTTCTTGCCAGCCATGAAATTTTCATTGGTCCTTTGTTGTATAAAATATTCTGAACTAGGAAACCTGTAGAGCAACAGACATGACTCCAAAGCCCAAAACACTTTTGATTGAATGGAACATTGCCTAATGCTCTGATTATGACAGTAAGTAAAAGTGAGATTAAACGAAACATTGCCCCAAATGTGTGCCTCCCTACTGAAAATGGTGGCTTTGTGTCTTCCTCTTTAGTCCCTCTGTAATATCTGCAGCAAAGCTATCTGTGGCCTTGTATTTCCTTCCCTTTCTTGTGCTGCATCTTTGACTGAAGTTAAACAGTGGTGTAGTGGAGCCAGAGCTGACACACTGGGATTTTCTGAGTAACAGGGTTTATCATCGGCCACCCTCCAGCCTTTCGCTATTCCCCCCCCCCATCTCATCTGCTCTATTTCCCCTAGTAACAGCATAATTGTGATGTGTTATTACTGAAGAATTTGCAAAGAATTTGAAAGCTTTTTGATTTTGAATGTGCAATTCAGGGCCATTGAGTGGACAATAGACCCGCTTCTCATTTGTTCATGTGGACCAGCAGCCTGCCCTTTTGGTGACTCCTGCGATGAGGCTGGCTCTGGAGCCCATTCTGTGCCCTTGCCAACCTGCGTTTCCAAGTTTAAAAATAGTGGCAAGAAGTCCGGCAACCTTAAAACTGCAACACAACAACCAAATGAAAATCTGAGGACAAGATAATCCACACCCAAGGGGTTATGAAACAAAAAGAAAGAAATCAGAAGACCCCAAAACACCCGTTGGGTGTTATTCCAGAGAATAACTCTGGAAAAGTTATTCCTTTGATTTCCAGATCTCTGAATTTCCCAGCCAGCTCAGCCTCTAGCCTTGCTGGTAGGAAGATTCAGGCAGTGGTACTGCAAAACAATGTTTAGAAGTTGGGAAGATAAGAGAAAGCCTCTCTCTTAGGGCAACTCAGTGGCCTTACCCTGATCATCTCCTGACAGTGTAAGCACTAGGCCACCCATCTAATCAGACTGGCTCTCCTTTGGCAGGATTTTTCTGCCCCCTCCCTTAATGAAGGAACATAGAGTGAGGTCCAGGGACAAATATGTGGAAGAGGTGACACTTCTTAAAGTAGATGTCCCTTCTGCTTTGTCTGATCATGAAGGTCAGTTCATAACAGCTCCGCTGCTAACCGTTTATTTCTTTTAGTGGCTTGGGGAGGAGGTGGGAGGGGAGGGTTATACTGAGTCACCAAAGTGTTTCCAACTCTGCTTTAAATGCCCTTTTAATTTAGCCCGGGTGAACATTGTTTTCTTACACAGCAGTCGGTTTTACTGGAAATCCATTTTGCCAGATGGCTTGCAAAACGGAGCAGTTATAAATAATCTTTATAACATGACCAAAATAGGTAATTTAACGACATGTGGGCATGCATCGCTACTAAACATATCTAAATATGTTGTTAATGACTAAAAGGTAATGTGAAGGGCAGGCAAAAGAAGGTTCTGTTTGTATTTCTATTTTTTTTAATTATTTAAAAGGATTTTCTCTCCCTCTTTAAAATCTAAATGCATTTTTCTTTCTTTAAAAAGCAGGTTTTTTAAAAAAAGTATTTTGAACTGAAGATTTCTAAAATGTCTTTGTGCCAGCAATAGATATGGCCCATGATCTTCTGAAGAAGAGGGTATAATTCTGACATGATGAACCTTAAACAGCTTTGCACATTGGTGTGTGTGATGTTCATTCTCTGCTCTTTTAACAAGCTCTTTATAGCACTTATAGCTCAGATGCCTTGCAATGTGTTCAGTTCTTCATACAAGCTACAGCACAAAAGTTCTCTTTGATGAACGTATAGAAATATTTCTTACCCATCTTTCAAAAAAAATGTTTGGGTGTGTATGTGACTTACAGACAGTTAAAAACAACACAAATAAGGTCTTCAAGTACAGATCAAAAGCTAGCAGTGTTATCAGTTGTAAAACATTGTTAATCAATAGCCGATAGGCTCAATCAGTCGCAAAAGAGGAGTCTGGGCAAACTGCAGAAAGATTACGGGAGAGGAGTAGGAGCATATTTCATGGCAGACATTCCATAAGAACAGTACCTGCATGAATAAGGCCCTGCCCTTTGCTATAATGGAGTTTCCTTCTTCAGAGTGCAATAACCTGTAGAACAGGAGTGGGCATCCCCAACGGGCTTGGTTACGAACATTTTAACTCAGAACCTACTAGAGCTACCAATGGCTATTTGTTTTGACGTTTCATGGGGAACTTGAGCGGGCAGCCTTAGTGAACCCACATAGGAATGGATTTTAAAAAAAGAACTAATGGGAGAGGCTATCAGGTGGACTTGGAGGCCACAAAATGCTCTGAGGGGCTGCATTTTGCCTCCCCCCCCCGGGGGTAGCACCTCCCTCATAGGCTAGCTCAACATGTGGATGGGTTGTTAAGGGGTGTGTGTGTGTGTGTGAGGCAGGGAGGGAGGGGTACCTAATTGGCAGAGCTTCAGTTCCTTTATGGTTTCGGTTTTAATTTTAAATATGAGCCAGAGAAGATAGTTCAGGCTGTAGCGCTCACCTTGCATATAAAGTCAGCATTACGAGCTTGCTGGAAAGCATCTGAGTCAGGAAATTGGGTTTTTACTAGTATCCCCATGAAATAATGGCACTGGAGCACCTGTGGTTATGGAAAACAATGGAACCAGACTACACATAAATGGCTGTTTTTCAACTTGAACATAAAAAGTGAGGGATCACGTTTGAGTTCCTTTGAAGCTTTATATCAGAGGGGGGAACAGCCTAGCACTTGGCCCACCTTAGACCTGCCCTGCTGCACAGTAATTAGGCTTACCAAAAAAAACATTTCATTTTTGTGGAGTGGGGAAGGATTTTTTTGGGGGGTGTTTACAGCTCAGAAGGGAAAAGTCGATTCATTCCTTTTGTATGCTAAAAAACAAACCCGATTCTCCTCTGAGTATAAAGTAATTGACTAATTGTCGTAGACTAATTGCTGCATGAGGTACCCAGTGTGGTGTATTCGAGTCATAGACTAGGATTCTGGAGACCAGTATTCAAATGCCTGCTTGGCCATGGAAACTCATATGGGAAGTGGAACTGGTAAAACCATGCCTTAAATATTTCATTGATCTTGAAAGCCCTACTAGGTTTGCTATAAGTGGGTTCCATCTTGATGGTACACAACTGACTGTGACGTCCGCCCGGGTCATGAATATTAATGTGCTGCCTGCATGAACCAATGAGAGTGCTGGAGAGGCGGATTCACGAAATATAAGCGTCTCTGCAGGGGGAGGAGAGAGGAAGATTGGAGATTTTTGGAGTGGTGGTTTTGGAGTTTGGAGTGGAGAGAGAGGGTTGGCGGTCGAGAGTGGAAGAAGTAGGATGTTTTGTTAAGATTTACAGACATTGATTGTACCTTCATCACCTGTAATAATAAACAACTTCTATTTGGTTCTACTTAAAATGACATATTGCCTGGACCTCTATTATTAATAATACATAATGTTGTTGTAATGAACTGGTGGCAGCGACGTGGCACATAGCTTTGTGCCCTTTGATTGGTGAAACAGCCAAGGGACAGGCGGGAACGTGACACTGACTAATTGCTGCACGCCCACCAGATTTTCAGGGAGGTTGCATGGAGTGAGGATTGACTTTCCTTTCTTAGGTGTGTTGCAAACCCCCAATACTACACCCATGTGGCACTTAAGCTTAGTTATATTCTTGTGAGTGAGGTCTTTTTTTTCCCCTCCCAGAAAAAAAGGGGAAAAAATGAAGGCATGGAGAGAGAAATGGAGTGGAAGAAGCAAAAAGGGAGAAGAAAACCTGTATTTGGACATTTTGGGGAATGCATGAAAAGCTAAATTTGTAGTGGGGATGTAATAAACTCTTATCCTCAAAATTCTCTCTTGCCGTTGCTTTGTAAGTGTGTTTGGCCAAAAGGCCACTGCAGTTCAGGAGTGGGCAGTGTTTGTCTTGAGGATGTGGCTTATGTGTTGACCTTTGCGCCCTCCATGAATTTAACCACTCACAGGTTCCTCAAATTCCCAAATAGTGCTGAAGCGTCTCGGAGCTGAATGCGTCCATAAGACTGAAGGCAGACCAGGGAATTGTAGGCTGTCTCTTGGTAGCTGTTTAGGGAGCAGAGCGAATGGCTGCGGTCACAGTGCCTCCAAAAATGGCGGTCCTCCATCAAGCCCCTTTGGCTTCAATTTCCCGCTCAAAGTACATTTAAGGAAATACATCGGATAGTGTCTTTACCTGATGCATTCTCTTAAAATAGTGTGAAGAGAGGAGGAAGAACTCAACACAAGGTTGCTATTCGTGTTGACCTGTTGCCTCATGTCTGGTTCCTGCCAAAGTTCCAGAATTTATATTAGCCAATAATTTAATTTTTTAAAATGGTTCCTTGGGATCCTCTTTGTGAGTATGTCTTAACAATCCTCCTGTTGTTGCCCATTCGTAAGTGATTTACTTACGTTAAGCCTCTTTATTACTTTGCATGTACTCCCATACCTTTTTTTTAAGGTTGACTGGCGTCCCTGAAAGAAATTAGTAAAGGAGAAAATAAATATGTTGTTGGTTGTATGCACAATAGGTTCATTGTGTGAGCAGGAGTGAGAATCACCTCCAAATGGCCTCAGGTGAAATCTAATGGAGAACCATTTTGAAACTGGATGGAGTTCATTGGTCAAAGGGATGTGTCTTCTATAAACATCTGATCCAAGTTAGATGGTTTTCTGTTCTGCTTGTTTTTGTGATTAAGTTCTAATTATTATTACTTAAAGAAGTATTTTTAATACACATGGCTGCATTGGGCCTTCTGGAATAAGGAGCTTGTTATATTGTCATTTAATGTGGAATCTATAAAAAAGGCTGTTTGCAGGTTCCTCTGATTTATGAGGCTAATGCAGCTTTTTCCTATTACCAAAAGTGGTCGCTTTCTGGTAAACCAGCAGTATGTGGAGAGCTGTGCCTTTTTCTTCTGAAAATGGCCTTTTGAGATGCACTTTGTTATTCTAGGAATACATAACACAAGTGGGAGGGGGGGAATCACTTAGGCCTTTTAAATATTTTACTCTGTTTTGTTTTTGAGTGTTCTTTTTTAATTCCCTTTACAGGAAAGTTCTCATCTGCCTGCCTCTTTGCTGTTAGCCCAACACAAAGACCGGTCTACACAACTAGAAATGGAACTAGAGATTCCCAAACCAGTTAAGCCAGTTGCATTTTCAACAGGCATCAAAATGGTAAGGCCTGAATGGCGCTCTATGTGTGTGTGTGTGTGTGAGAGAGAGAAAGGGCAGGGGAGGGAGAGAAGGGAGTTTGTTCTATTCTTTATATCTCAGTCTTTTTGGTGATTGACTCCAGTTGTAGCCTTTGGTATCTATTCTGACATTCTTCAAACAATACACCAACTTCTAGATCAGTGGTTCCCAAACTTGGGTCTCCTGATGTTCTTGGACTACAACTCCCAGGAGTCCTGGCCAGCACAGGTAGTGGCAAAGGCTTCTGGGAATTTTAATCCAATAACATTTTGGGAGTCTAAGATTGGGAACCATTGGTGTAGATCAGGGGTCTCCAAACTAAGGCCTATGGGCCACTTCTGGCCCGCCTTGCCTTTATATCCGTCCCAGGCATAGGAAGAGGTGGAAGAGGGAACCAAGCAATCTTCCACCTCCTCTGTTGTTGCAAATACAGCGGGGTGGGGGACTGCTTGGGTCCCCCTTTCCTCCTTTTCCTATGCCCAGGCTGAATACAAAGGCAAGGTGGGCCAGATGTGGCCCATGGAGATTCCTGCACTAGATATACCTGCATGTGATAGAATAGATGGTGTACAAGCCCACCTGTGGTACTGTATGTATGGTAGTTGATGCCAGAATGAAATTTAACTTATCAATTAAATTGATAAATTACCACCCAATTAGTGCAGTGCACTATTTTGGGAGGTTAACAGCATAAAGAAATTGTACAAACCATGAAAACAGCAATGAAATCATAAAACAAAAAAAAAATTAATTCAGCCATCCAAGATGGTGCAACATTCCATATTAAAATGGCAGTGCATGAGCCAAATAAAAATAAAAATAAAAAGCAGGAGTTGAGAGGGAGGCGGCCAGGGACAGCTCAATCAGGAGCTGGCTCTGCAAGGCTGGTGCCACTGCTAAGAAGACTTGGTTTCTCCTTGATGATTTTCTGGTCTCCTTTGGGGTGGCCACCATTACCTGGGATGATTTGGTGGGGCAGGTGGTTGCTGTTGGGAAAAGTTGCTCTGACAACTAACAAGCAAATAATGGCCTTCTCTTCAAGGTTTATGTAGAAATTATGTGTAGAAATTGTTTCTTTGTTTTTACTGTTCTGGAAAAGTAATCATTGTCTAGCTTTAGCATTTAGCTTTCATATTTTCTCCATTCCTAGAGGCGTGCTGGGTTTTCTGAGCTATCAGCACTCTACCTTGGTAGTTGTTACGTATTGTTTCTAACTGAAGGCAGCCCTGTGAAGTAAGAACCTTCAAAAGATCCTGCCATTAACAGCCCTCCTTCAGGTCTTGCAAACTGCAGGTTACAGCTTCCTTTCTTAAACCAATCCATTCCATGTTAGATCTTCCGTGTTCCCTGCTGGCTGACACTTTTCCTAGCAGTAGTGTTCCAGTGAGCCTTGTCTTCTTGTGATTTGTTGAAAGTACAATACTCTCAGTTTAGTCCTCTTCTGTCAAAGTGCCTCTGGTGCCTTTACTTGTTCTGAAACTAGCTTGAACATGTGGCACTTCTTACCACATGTAAAAATCTTTGTTTTTTAAAAAATGTTTGTTGCAAAATTTTGAGCATTTTACACAAAACCATTGTGTAGTGTTCCTCCTCAACACCAAAGTGTACCAAAAAGTGCTTTCATAGGAGTCAGTCTTCTAGTGTGAATGCTGGGCAGAGCTTGGAAGTAACTAGTTACATGTAACATAGTTTCTTTCAACTACTTAGTTTTGAATGATAAAGGTAAAGGTTTACCTTGACATTTAGTCCAGTCATGTCCAACTCTAGGGCGCAGTTCTCATCCCTGTTTCCAAGTCATAGAGCCAGCATTTGTCTGAAGACAGTTTCTGTGGTCACGTGGCCAGTGCGACTAGACACAGAACGCCATTACCTGCCCACTGTGGTGGTACCTATTTATCTACTCATATTTTTACATGCTTTTGAACTGCTGGGTTGGCAGGAGCTGGGACAAGCGATGGGAGCTCACTCCATCACGTAGATTTGATCTTAAGACAGCTGGTCTTCTGACCTTGGAGCACAGAGGCTTCTGCGGTTTAACCTGCAGCACCACCACGTCCCTTTGAATGATAGATATTTGTAATACATAGTTACAATGTTTATTTATTATTTTTTGATATAACAACATCTGCTACTTAGGTACTGTATATTAAATAACAGTTGCTTTCAAAAGTTACTTACTATAAAGGGTATTTTAAGGTAGTTTCAGAGTCATTTTCCTAATATTATGCCATACTGTTTTTAATCTTAAGTGGCAGAAGAAGTATTCTTTGCTTTTGTTTTCTGTATTGTTGTAAAGATTTGCAATGGGATGTATCAGAATTGGCCGCTGGAGGTAACCAGAGGTTATTTCCATGTGTATCTCTGACATGATTGCAAGAGCACTGTGTTAAGAACACACGGCACATTAAATTATGCAGTCAGAGCAACAATCATGATAATGACAACCTTGCTACCAAGAAGTAACGAGTATCACAATGGATTTCCATTAAAAAAAACATGAATGAGCTCTGATTCTGTTATGCTATCTCAATTGATTCTGGTGACTCTTTGCATCCTTAGACATATCTTCTATCTTTTCTTGCATGTATACTGGCTTTTATTCTTTTTGACCCTTGTGGATCGGCTGGCACTTGTTTGCTTCATACGCTACACTCTTTGAGAACAGGTTATGGCAAGAGCAGCAGGACAAAATGATGAGCAAAGTTCTTCTGAATAAAGAGAAACATTTAGCATGCTTTGCCAAAGAGCAGGCTCTTCTTATCAACAAATTGATCTTGCAGATAAAAACCGTTTCCAAACAAAACATCACTTCTACTTATGCCTTCTTAAAAAAAAATGATGATAACAACCTGGGGTAAAATGGGCTTTCCTGAGGAAAGAAGACGGAATAAAGTATTTTTTGAGGAATGTCTCAGCCTATGAAAAAGTACCAGAATAGGTTGATTCTCTCTCTCTCTCTCCTTCCTGCTTCCCATTTACTCCCAAGGATGTGGGTGATACCAGCAATTTCAAGACAGAAACAGAGCACATTTTATAGCCAAACGTACTGTAGTTGTTTGGCTATCCGAAGCGATAACCAGGAGGGATGTACTAGTGCTCAGTTCAGCCAGGAAGCTCAAGCAGGTACATTATTTGCCATTACAGAATGATGCAGTCTAACTGTTTAAGCTACTCCTTCCTTCTTGCATTGTGAGACTTGTCTTTCGGCACCATTATTTGTAGCCAAATCCTGTGACTCTAGCCAAATCCATTGACTGTTTTCTGGGGGCAACCTGGGACTCTGCAGCTTGGGCAAGGGCACACAGGATGGCTCCTCTCCCTTGAGGCACAGTGGGCAACTGGGCTTCTCTTGACCCACTGCCATGGCAGAGAGGGGCCCGTCTCACTGAGCTTATCTAGCCAGCTACAGAAGGCAGAGAGATGTCTATATCTTTTGAGCTCCTTGGAGGAATTGGCAAGGTATAAACAGGTGTGGTAGGAGAGAGAAAGAGGAAAGGGAAATAGTTCCTTTGTGGGTTGTGCATTCAGAACCAGCAGCCTGATGTGCCTGAAGGGGTTTTATTTTGAAGATTGCAGATGGCATCTTGGAAATGTGTGATTTCCTTGCCTACCTGGATTGATGGAAGAGGTGAGAGGTTTGCACCAGGGACTTCAGCTCTCCTGCTTCAGGCCAAAGCAGGGATTAAACCTCGTGTTTCCAGCAAGATAGCGGTGTTAGTCTGTTTCTGTGGAATGAAAACCAAAACAGGTGTCCCAAGAGGTGGATTGCAATACATGAAATCAGAGCAAAATGTGTTAGTTGCAGTTTCGTGTAACCCGTTTGTGGCTGCTGGTAGGTCTCCTTCCCAGACATAGCGTTTAGTAAAATTTGTGACTCTTGCTGTGATGTTGCATTTGTTGGACTGCAAATACCATCATCTTTCACCTTTTGCTGTAAAGTCCAAAATAGGTGAGATCTGGAAGGCAATGTATTTTTCCGTTGTATGCGATGTTAACCGAAATGGAATTTGGTATGCAGCTGTCCTGTCGGTAGGCAGATGATCTTTTAGAAAAATGTCGAGTTCATTTGTCAGCTACTGTGCCGTGCCAGCCTTTGAGAGATTTGATAGTAAATCAAGTTGCTGCAGTTCTTTAGCTGCCAAACGACTCTTGCGTAAGAGGGAATTTTCCCGTCGGTTATAACTCAGTATGGTTTGGACACCACATGCTTCAGAATAAGAGCAGTTTCTGCATGGAGTAGATTTCATTGTTCCGTTTGTGCTCTCTTAAAGGCCTTCCTGCTTGTTTTGACACATTTTTTGTTGGTTCCATGTAGCAAAATGGATTGTACGGAGATAATGACTTAATTCCTCATCTGTCCCAGTGCCAGTTGGATCAGTATTATCTGGGATGTCAGTCTAGCAAGAGACTGAACTCACAGTTCCATAGAGACACTGTGAATCAAGCAGCCTGTAAACCTCACAAATAGAAAGGTCCAGATGTAACATTGCAAATAAATGACACCCTGGACTTTCGGGGTCCTGGGGGCCAGCCAAATTTTTGACCCCAATGGTGCTGCTCGATATATTTCTTTATATCTCTCACATGTGTCAGCGTATCTCTTACTTTTGCCATTGCTTCCCAGGGGCACCTCTGGCGTGGATGGAATTGTTTACAGCTCTGGCTTGGCTGTTTTGCTGGCCCAAAAAGAAGTTTATAAGGAGGTGGGGGGAATTGTTAGTATTGTCCTCTCAGCCACCACTTTCATAGCATTCTACCTGTGCTTAGATTACAGCACCAAAAAGAAGTTTATAAGGAGGTGGGGGGGCATTGTTAGTATTGTCCTCTTAGCCACCACTTTCGTGGCATTCTACCTGTGTTTAGATTACAGCACCCTCTAGAATAAAGTTCCCTTTTTCCAGTTGCCTGGAAAAATCCGGCAATGTGTAGGATAAAACCTTGGATGTCTTGAGCCAAAAACAAAGCCTAGAGCAGTAACTGCG